CGGCGTTGGGTGTCGCTATTGGCGCTGCTGGCGCTGCTCTGGCCCAAGCCGGGGCTGGGCCGGCCGCGAGAGCGCCTCCGCGTGCGCTTCACCCCGGCCGTCTGCGGCCTGCGCTGCGTCCATGGGCCCACCGGCCCCCGCTGTACCCCGACCTGCGCGCCCCGCAACGCCACCAGCGTGGACAGCGGCGCGCCCGGCGGGGCGGCCCCGGGGGGACCCGGCTTCCGCGCTTGTGAGTGCGGGGAGGTGGTCCCGAGGGAGGGAGTCCCTGGGGGAGGCGGCTCTCCGGGATGGGGCTGACAGTACCCCAGGGAGAGGGAGACTAAAGTCCTAGTCCAGGAACGATGTCCTGGGGCACTTGGCGAAGCCCGCCCTCCCACCTCCATGCCCCTGATGGTCCGGACTTTTGCAAACCAGGAGGTCTCTCCGGGACGGGAGGCGACCCACGTGAAGGGAAGGTGGACTGGAGAATTCAGGGACTTGGGAGCATTTGGGAAGGGAGTGGGTAGGGACCAAGGCAGGGTTTTAAGGCCGCATGGGGGAAGGGTGTTCCACTTTCTGAATCTTTGAGGTGCGTGCGGGGGAATTAGGAGAGTTGGGATAGGGGTGCCTGAAAGGTGGGGCACGGGATGAGTCAAGTTGGACCTCGGAGCTGAGAGGAAAAGGGTCCGAGAGGAGCGCGGGGCGGCGGGTTGGGGCGTCTGTGTAGGACCCCCCCCCCCATCCACAAGGGTCTCACTCGCGGGAAAAATCCAGATAGAAAGCCTAGGGGAGAGGCGCCCCTGGGGCCGGAGGGAACCTCGGGCGGACAAGTACCAGTCACCTCCGGAGATGGGAAGACTCCAAGGTGGGAGGGTTCAGGTGAGCCGGAGAATGCGAGTCACCTGTTGATCCAAGGGTGGGCGGATCTTGTAGGGTCAGGATATCCCATCCCCCACCCTCAAGCCCCTTGGAGTGGGGAGTGGGGGGCCCCGGCGCCAAAAACTCGACCAGCCTGGCCCCCAGCCAGCCCAGCCCCGGGGCCGGCGTGAGCTCATCTCCCGCCCGGAGCCCCGCCCACGGCCACGCCCTCTCTCCTCCCCTTCCTCTCTCCATCCTCCACTCGCTCCCGCCCAGGCCCAGCGCGCCCGTGCCAGGCGTCGTGCCCTGGCGGGTGCCAGGCCTCAGGAGGCGCAAGGAGGAGTATGTGAAGTGGGGATGACCTTGGCAGAACCCCGATGTCCTCAGCTCCCCGTTCCTCCAGGGACTTAGGAATCAGAGTTGGCTGTGCCAGTTTAGCAGCTTATCTGGGTGTGGGCACCCCCAGGGAACTGGGCTGGGGACTTGCATTCAGGCCAAGAGTAGGCGAAGAAAGGCCTTTGGAGACGGACAAATGGCCTCCAAGCCTGGCTAGGCTCCTAGGACCTCCAGCAGAGACCCCTCCCGGAATTGAAATCCTGATTGTGGTTTCATGGATCAGCTAAAAATCTAGCTAAAAATTCCCCCATTAGTGCATCCTGGCCTTCTGTCCTTACACCCTTAGCTGAGGGCCTGTGGAGTCCCTGCCTCCAGTTCCAGAAGTCTTCTCAACACCCCTGTCCACAGACTTCAGGGAAGTTCCATTCTTTGGTAGACCTCCCAACCGGTGCCCCTCACCACAGAACTCTAAACCTGGCAAGGCACGCTCCACCTCCAGAGGGACCACCAGCCATATGCAGTGGAAATCTTCCTCTCCCGTTGAATTCATGTCCCACAAAAAAGCTCTCGTTTTCTTAGATTAACAAAGCAGGCGACGAGGAGAGTTTAAACCGACTCTGGTGTCCAGCTGAGGGCCTTTCCAGGGAATCGGGCCCCATCTCTTCAGAGGACTCCAGACATAATAATAATCCGCGCGCGCGCCATTAACCACAAGATGGCCCCCAAGCGCCCTGGCTGCGGGAAATAAGCTTCTCAATATAGGGCCATGCCAGCTAGTTAGTGCCAACTCCTAGACTGGGGGTTCCCAGGAATTCGCATTTGCTCATTTAAACCCCGTTCCCAAGAGCACCCTCAGACTGGCCATCTCTTAGGAGGGTCTAGAGTTCTGGTTTTAGGTAAGGCTCCTCTATAGGATGAGTGCTCTCTGTGGCTGATCTCCCAGGTCTCCAGCCTCCTTTCCCTAGAGGGCACCCCTCCCCACACCATCACCATGCGTTCCTCTGTTTGTGGCTCGCAGCCTCACATACGCCTCCCTGGACGGCCCAGCCGCCTGCCCTCTTCCTCCCGTCCGCACAGCTGTCTCCAGCTGTTTTCCAGCGGCCCCAGGGGAGAGAAGGGGGGGGGGAGGTGCGCTCTCGCCGGACGCAGACGGCCTCCTTTGGCTCTGTGGACCTGGGGCTCCCCAAGGGTCCGGAATGTGGAGCCGCCGCCCTGCCCCCGCCGCACCCCTCTCTTTGTTTACCCCGCCGGACAGCTGGCAGGGCCCCGCCCGGAGGTGGCTGGGGGCCCAGCGAGGGCGCGCAGAGGGGAGAGGAGGCGCGTTCTCGTTCCATGGGGGGGGCGCGCCCCGGGGCTACTGGAGGCAAGAGGGCCGGGCTAGAACTCCGAAGCCGGAGCCAGAGGAAAGGTGGGCGGGGACAGGGCGGGCTGGAAAGGGTGGGAGTGAGTGAGCCGGAGCAAATCTGAGTGAGGAACGGGAGGTGGGCGGGGCCCAAGGCTAGCAGGTTAGAGGCCCTAGTGGGCGGGGCGTAGAGTCACGTGGGTGGAAGGTGAGGTGGGCGGGGCTAGAAGAGGGATCGTGGCCAGTGGGGGGAGCTGGGACTTGGTAGACCCGGCCAGCAAGGATGTGGGAGGGTCTACAATGCTCCAGAGACCGAGTGGGGACCCGGGAGTCTTGCAAGAGTGGCTAAATTGTGGTTTGAGTCGATGGAAGTGGCCAGCATTAGATGGGCGGGGACTGGAACAGCCTTGGGTCCCGGCTGACTGCGAGGTGGGAGGGGCTAAAGCGCCCAAGGACCTGAGTGGGAATTGGCAGGATCGAATCAATGGGCAGGGCAAGGCTGTCTGGGCGGGGCAGGAACGTCGGGCACTCGGCCAAAAAGTGGGATCAGGTAGGACTTGTGGGGGCGGGGGGGACAGAGCGACTTGAGAGAGAACGAAGTTTAGGGCGTGGTGAGCGGACCCTGAGAGCTGAGCGACTGGGCGGGGCCAGTGCAGGTGGCCTGAGTCGGGGCAGAACAGCAAGAAGAGGCGGAGGGATGTAGAATTGAGATGCGGTGGTTTACACCCCCAGCGGCTTGGGATAAAGTCGGCAGTTCGGACCCAGCAGTCACTGTATAGGAAAATGAGGGGGGGGGTTCAGCTTCTTCAGACGAAGACTGGAACCCCTTAATATAAACTCATTGCCTTAAAATTCATTCTGACGCGTGTCTATGGGACACGGAGCGCTGGTGGCGTAGTGGTTACACGTTGGGCTGCTGACCGCAAAGGTGACATTGATTCCTTTCCGACCCCATAGCCACCTTATGAAACACAACGGAACACTGCCTGGTCCTGCACCATCCTCACAATTGTTTCTGTGCCTGAGTATTGTTGCAGCCACCACAGTGTCAGTCCATCACTAAGGATCTTCTTTTACGCTGCCCCTCACAGGGGCCGTTCGACCCCTGTAGGGTAGCTATGGGTCGGCTTCAATTCGTGCAACGAGGGTTATTTTTGTTTTGAAACAAAGGGCTGGCTATGGGAGATGTCCCGGCCCTGAGTTGTCTCTGCTCCCCCCGGCCCCCCCACAGACCTCTGCCCCTTAATCTGTCACAACGGTGGTGTGTGCATCAAGCCGGACCGCTGCCTCTGTCCCCCGGACTTCGCGGGCAAATACTGCCAGCTGCACTCCTCGGGCGCCAGGCCTCCGGCCCCGGCCGAGCCCGGGCTCACCCACTCGGTGTACACCATGCCGGTGGCCAACCATCGCGACGATGAGCATGGTGAGGAGTATCACCCGATCGATCGCCGGCCACCCTCTGCCCACACCCTCAGATCCCCATCGTGCCCGCCCCTGCGTCCTGGTCCTAGCTGGCCCTTGTCTCGTGCCTGGCTTCAATCCCTAAGAAGCCGGGTAGACGCGCCCTTGCCCGGCCCTGCCTCCCTCCAGGCGTGGCGTCCATGGTGAGTGTCCACGTGCAGCATCCGCAGGAGGCGTCGGTGGTGGTGCACCAGGTGGAGCGCGTGTCTGGGCCTTGGGCAGAGGCGGACGCCGAGGCCGTGGCGCGGGCGGAGGCGGCGGCGCGAGCAGAGGCGGCGGCCCCGTACACGGTGCTGGGCCAGAGCGCGCCCCGTGAGGACAGCTACTCTGACTCTTCAGGCTACGGTTACTGCTTTCGGGAACTGAGAGGAAGCGATGTGAGAGGGGGCTTGCGGGGAGGGGCCTGGCGCGGGCCAGCGCAAGGGGCGCTCACCCCATGCTTCCCTGCAGTGCGCATCCCCTCTGCCCGGGCTTCGGACACAGGAGGTTTGCTGCGGAGGGGCCGGCTTGGCCTGGGGCGTTCACGACTGCCAACCGTGCTCGGAGCACCTGGGTAAGCCCTTGCACGTCCCCGAGGTCGGAGCAGGACCAGGATGGGAGCCGGGCCTGCACACCTTCCCTGGTCCACATTTCTACCACGTGCACATGTTCTAGACACGCCTACCCTGTCGAGAGGGAAGCAATTCCCGTCTGGACTCATCTCTGACTTTCTGGGACCAGTCCTGACTCAGGCCACTCTGTCCTCACCCCAGCTTTGTGCCCCTGTGTGTTTCCGGAATCTCCCCGGTGCCCTTGAGCTCATTGTGCCTTTGCAGACACATCCAACACTTCCCAGTCCGTGGTCCATCCATCCATGCCCCTCATCTCCTCTCTCCATAGGGAGCTCCAACCGAGTGGGAGCCCCCGATCAACCTTGTCCAACAGGCTTCGAAAGGGTTAATGGGTCATGCGAAGGTGAGCCCTGGAGTTGGGTGGGCGAGGAGGTGGGGGCGGGACTGTGTTTCCGGACCTCAAGGCGACCTCCTCTCCATTGCCTTCAGATGTGGATGAGTGTGCCACCGGTGGGCGCTGCCAGCACGGGGAGTGTGCAAACACACGGGGCGGGTACACCTGCGTGTGCCCCGAAGGCTTCCTGCTTGACTCCTCCCGCAGCAGCTGCATCTGTGAGCCTCTCGGAGGGGGACTGAGCCCTCACCTGCCCCCAGATCCCTTCCAGAGCCCCCAGCCTCTCAGAGCCCCCAGCTCCTCCCCCACTCCTTCATAACTTCTCAGAGCTTCCACCTACCCTCAGACTCTCAGCACTCTGTTCAGATTCTGCTCAGAACCCTCTACCTCTCAAAACTTGTTGGATTCACTCAAAAAGCAACTATAAAACCACACCCACTGTCATGCAGTCGATTCCCACCGATAGTGACCTTATAGGACAGTATAGAAGTGCCCCTTTCGGACCGGGGCTGTAACTCTTCATGGGAGTAGAAAGCCCCATCTTTCTCCTGTGGACCCTCCAGTTAGCAGCCAATGCCATCCTCCATGCCACCAGGGCTCCTTTTGTCTCCACAGGTTACTTCAAATCTACGGACTTTCTAAAACTCTTCTCAGGCCACTCAATCTTCATGACCTTGTGCCCCCTCTCAGACCCTGTCAGCCTCTCCGAAACGTCCGGATATCCTTCATGTCCACAAACCCTCCTGGGCCCATCTCCCTGCCCTTTTGCTCCCTGGCCTCCATCCCACCCCCTTCCTTCTGCTTCCTGTTCCTCAGCTCAACACGTGATCTCCGAGGCTAAGGGGCCCTGCTTCCGCGTGCTTCGCGATGGCGGCTGCTCGCTGCCCATCCTGAGGAACATCACCAAACAGATCTGCTGCTGTAGCCGTGTGGGCAAGGCCTGGGGCCGGGGCTGCCAGCTCTGCCCGCCCTTTGGCTCAGGTGATCACCTCCTGCCCTCCTCTGGCCCCTGATATGACACAAACTGGCATCTCCCAGGCCCTGAAGTGGTCACTCCTCCAGCCTGGACAGGACGTCCAGA